TTAACTCACTCTCTCTCTCTCTTTCTCTCTCCCTTTTATCCTTCGGGTATACGATAGGTATACTCGTCGAATATAAAAAGAAAAATAAAAAAGCAACAAAAAATGTGATTTAATCAAGATAGAAAAAAAACAACAACAATACAAAAATTACAGTCAACGAAAGAAGAAGAAGAAGAAGAGAAGAAGGGTTCTTTTATTTTTATAAAAAGCGTGTGTCCGCCACTGTGACCGCAAGCTACGAACGAGATGGGGCGACGCGTCGGATGAATCAAAGGGAAAACTTAATGGATACGACGAGAGCAATTGTTCACTGCTACGAGGGCTACCAAATCGAAGGTACTTAATGACCTTTAGTTATGCACTTCACTCACCCACTCACTCACTTACTCTCTCTCTCTCTATCCCTATCTCACTTTTGAAAATAATTTTCGCACGCATAAAACCAACACGACGAAATATTAACAAAAGCTTTCCCGACGAACCAACTAACGAAAATATTATATGGATCGTTGTAACCTGCGGGCCGTGGGGGGAGGGGGTGGGGGGGAGGGTATACGATCGAAAGTGGTTTTTGGCGGCAAGCTTTTCCCGATGTTTCCGATAAGTGGACAAATTGGGTAGAAATTATGGTCACCGTGACCGCTTATATTCGATGAATGACGCGACACACACCGTTCGTTATACATAGCGAATCACTGTACTCTGTTACAACAGCACAATATCATCGAATGCTAGTAGCTTCGATGTGTTCACTTAATAGACGTCAGAGTACTTCGGTTCGTGTAACACACATGCTTTCCGGGTTTAATTAGCCTACATTTGTATCAAATTAGAAGATGTTTCTCCTTTTATGCAGTATCACTCGAACTCGGTTTTACTTATCGATCGGTATCGAGTGTTCATATATATATTTATGAACATGTATATAATTTATATTATATATATATGTATGTATTGACTGATCCTAAGAACATCTAAAACTACATATCATCCTTTATAGGTGACTTTTAATCATGAAACGTTTATTGAAAACTCATTCTTCTCGGCGATAAAATTATCACCAGCTTTCAATGCCGTTGTATTGTCCCACCGGATTTCTCCAACCACCCTCAACCCATCTTTCCCTTTCCCTTTCTCTTTACCTACCAAACCTCCCTCCCACCCTTCTACCACTTGCATCCGATATTTGAGTGTAATCACGTCGACGCCACGAACAAACGTTTCGTTTCACACGATGCTACCCGAGGTAATTGCCAAAGTTTCCAACACCATAACGAAGTTTACATTCGTACCTATCGATGTTCACGAACTGTAACTAAATATCGAAGCTCTTCTCTCTCTCTCTTACTCTCTCTGTTTCTCTCTTTCTGTCTCTTTCTATCTATTTAACTCTATCCTATTCACCATCTCTTTCTCTCTCTTTCGTATCGAATAATCCATAGATTTAGATAATTGGGGAGAATCGAGGATTCGATGTGGTGTACGCGCCTAACGCATGTTAAAATCCGTGAAAATGTACGAGGGTGTGAACATTTCTTTACTAAAGCTTGTCGTCAACGGGGGAAACTTTGAACGCTACTGTATCCCGTGTATCCGGTCTATTTAAAATAAAAATATTATATGTGTATTCGATATCTGTAGATACGAGAGAGAATGTGAATACGATACCACCGAACTTCTCGTTATTTCAAAAAAAGCTCCTCGACCTCCTCCCCCGTTTTTCGAAATGGGGTGAAATAAAAAAAAAAAAAAAAATGAAAAAAGAAAAATAAGAAAAAGAACAAGCGAATATATATATATATATGTGTATAATATACGCGTGTAATATGTTCCGCGTATAGAAACGCCGTGTAAGACCGTGAACATTTTTCCAACGTGTTCTCTCTCTCTCTTTCTCTCTTGCACAACTCTCGGTGCATTAGAATTCGAACCGAGAGAGTTCCGCAAACTGCGAAAAAACGTTCGCGACGCCATTTGAAATAAATTCTGGCGTGCGCGCGCGAGTTATAGGCGCGTGGTGTTGCTGTTGTGTTGATGCTTCTGCTTCCGCTTCTGCTGCTGGTTGCTTTTCCCCGTTCGTAATTACATCCGATTTTTCCTACCTATTATTTTCTACTTTTCCTTTCTTTTTATTATATAGGTACGCTCGTTAAAAAAGTTTTCGATAAAATAATAATAATATTAATAATGATTATAATAATAATAATAATAATGATAATAATGATAATAATAATAATGAAATAATACAAATAAAATCGATTTAAATTTCAAACGTCTCGAACTCGTCTCTCGTCTCGCAAACAATCTGATATCGGAAAAGGATTAGCGTTTTCCGTTAGGAAAGAGACACACAGGATTGTGCTAACATAGAATGATTTTCACGCGTAGTATAGAAAGTAGTTGTGGTGGGCATAATGAAGCGACGAAACAAAGCTTACACGCGAATAAGATATGAATATGCATAACCGTATCGTTTAACATAATGGTTTGGAAACGAGAAATGATACTGGGATCGCGCGTTCGTCGATGTAATATATTTTTTTGTTTCTCCCTTGTATACGCTTTCGATTAATTTGATACGCAATTAAATTTATTGCTGTGCAAATTCCTGTGCATCGTGATTATTTATTATTATAGATAAATTTTATTTCATTATCCATACATGCGTTTTTGCTTAATATTCCGAGATTTTTTATTCGAGAAAGAAAATCTTATTCGCCAAGAATTTATTTTATTTTATTTTATTTTATTTTATTTCATTTCATTTCATTTCGTTTCGTTTCATTTTTCATTTCATTTAGTTTTTTATAATGAACAAGTAAATACTATGAGGTACTCTGCGAACTTTGATCGTGAATGTATATATAAAAAAAGAAGAAAAAAAAAAACAGAAAAAAGATCTATATCTATTTAAAAGAAAGAAAAAATATAAGGAAGATAAAAGGGTAAGAGAAATAAAACAAACGTATTTTTATATATTTGAACTCGCTAGTTCTCTCTGATAGGTTAAAAAACCTATCGTCCAAGAGAAATTCTCTCTCGCAAACTTCGGAGTTAACTATTTATCGATCGCTATCAGAATTTTGAACGTACATCGATGTGCAAGCTTTAAGTTAAACTTTTAATTATACAGGTTAAGATAAACGCAAAGTTTTCTACGTACGACAAACGGATTTATCGTCAAAAATCATTGACCGATATTATTCATTTTTTATATCGCATGAGAGAAATATAATAAAAATAAATTTGAATCATCAAACGAATACGCGAGACATATATATATATATTTGAAACAACGGAAACGTGAGTTTTGTTTCTTTTCTGGTTGAAATCAAAATGGGGTAACTTTTTGTTTTACAAATAGTATAGTTACTTTTTTTTTTTTGAGTTGTAACTCAATACTTTTCTCTCAGACTACCAACCCATTCTCTTTTTGTTTTTTTATTTTTTAGACTCTTCGGCAGAATTTATTTGCGCTTAAAGCCAAAAGTACGATGATAAACGTTTCGAGAAGGATCGATATTTGTTTTCGTCGTACGTTCGTACATATTTTTTCTTTATCCTTTTTTCTATTTCTATTTCTGTTTCCTGTTTCTCTCTCTTAATCGTCCTGACAGATTCGTTGAATCCGAGCAGTCAGTTTGACGGGCCAAATTTTCGCGGCATTTTTTGAACAGAACGGATTTCCCAGGCGTATTCGTCTCGTTCGTTTCTCTTTCATATACATTCGCGCACGCTCACACACACACACACACACACACACACACACACGGACACATACGGACACGCACACAAATATACGCGCATAGACGAGAGATCAACTACACGGACTAACTTTTTATTTACCGATTTTAGGAAAAGGAAAAAGTGTTTCTTGTTAAAAAAAGAAAAATAGAAACCCCCTACGTCATCGCCATTAAACGTATAGGAGAAGAGAATATTCAAATAAAACGTCAAATTCGTGTAATTACGTTTCATGTAAAACACACACAGGGAAGAAAATAAATAATTATTTTCTTATATATACATACAAAATGTAATTAAAATATTACGATAAAATAGTCGGGAATGAATATTTCGTATGTAATAAAGAAAAATAGGTCAAACGTGAGAATTTTAAGTTAACGTTTCTAAATTATAGAATTTACAAGTTACAATTTAACTATTAGTAGTATACTCCAATTATATTTATTTGCGAGAACTATGATATACATATGAGATGAATATTGACATTTCATTACATAAAATATTAAATATATTTATCATCGGTTTAAAATACGATGCTTGTCGTCTCGTTAAATATCAAACGTATTTTTACTTATAATTCTAAGTACCCTACATAATTTTTGTTTGCTATTGTTAAATATATAGTAAGTAAAAAACTTCAGTAAAAGTATGACAACACACAGCTGAACGTAATTTAATTAATATCGCGCGTACATAGATTTCAATCGTAATTAAAATCTATTAAAAATCATACTTAAAAATTTTTCCAATTGAAAAGTTAAATATTTCTGAATCGATTTTTTCTTCTCCATTCACACACACATACATACACGCATTCATATTATTCCATATTATTCCATTAAAATGATTTAAACTAACTTTCTATAATTATACAAAATTATTCTATCACGTATATATTTATAATACATCAAATTTCCTTTACTTAATATTTTCTAAAATTTTATTTCTTCTTCACAAACTAATATAATATAATATTTAACATTTTTCTTCGTAGTATCCCGTTTCGAAACATTATTCCTATACAACGAAGAATGCTTTACCTATCCACGCCGATAGGAAATTAAATCACGAGACGAAAAAAAAAAAAGAGAGAGACAGAAAGTGAGGGAGGGGGGGGGGAAACATTTTGTCCGTGATCGATCTTAAGCACACGAGAGTTAGAAAGAGATGAGAAGAGAAGAAAAGAGAAGAAAAGAGAAAAGAACGGCTCGTTTCGCCGTTATCGTCGCGAATTCGCATTTGAAATGGGCTTGGGAAGAGGAGGAGTCCGTCGTCGTTCGAGTTGAGAGATCGCGGGTATCGAGAATTAAATTTCCATCAGAGAACTGTAGAGAAATATATCTATAACATATACTCGGTCGGTTACGACGTCATTTTCTCACGCCCAATCGTTCGTCCGGAACCTACATTTTCTCTTTCTCTCTCTTTCTCACTCACTCACTCACTTACACATACATATATACACAGTCTTTCTGTCTCTTTCTTCTTCCACTTCCTCATTTGCTCCCTATCTCATTTTCGTCAGCAACTATACCTTTATCTTTATCTTTCTCTTTCTCATTGGGAGACGAAAAATTATTTAGTATGGG